GGGGGCTGGGGGGCGGGGGGGGGGGGGGGGGGGGGGGGGGGGGGGGGGGGGGGGGGGGGGGGTGGTGGCGGGGGGGGGGGGGGGGGGGGGGGGGGGGGTCCCTGGGGTGCTCCGTGAGCCCCAAATTCCATTGGAGCAGGGAAACAGGGAACTCAAAGCTAAAAACACATTTGGCCTACAACAGCCTCATCCTGGGAGTGTCCAGGGCCACTTTGAATGGGCTTGGAGTGACCTGGGATAGCGGGAGGTGTCCCTGCCCATGGCAGGGTGGGACTGCATGGGAATTCCCACCCAAACCATTCCATGGTTTTGTTTTCCCATCCCTCTGCAGGTGCTGCAGGAACAGCCCTGGACACTGGGACTTTGCTGGGCAGGAGAGCCTGGAGGGACAGGACACAGGTAATGGCTTCCACTGCCAGAGAGCAGGGATGGATAGGATATCGGAAAGGAATTCCTGGCTGGGAGGGTGGGGAGGAGCTGGGGCTGTACCTGGATCCCTGGCAGTGTCCAAGGCCAGGCTGGAGCACCCTGGGACAGTGGGAGATGTCCCTGCCGTGGCTGGGGGTCAGCTTTAAGCTCCTTCCAACCCAAACCATTCCACGAATCCACAACATTACGATTTACACCACAACAAGCAGCAGCAGAATCCCCAAAGTTCACCCACATTCCCTCTGTGCCAGCAGCCAAATAAACCCAGGAATCAGCCACAGAGCCGAGGCACCAAAGCACCTCCATCCTGGAACAGCAGGAACGCAGGGCCAGGAATTTCAGGAGAAAAGAGAAAAATTCAGGAGAAAAGAGGAACCAGCAAACAGCGGAAAGCTCCTGGTGGGCTGGGCCAGCCCCTCCCTGATAAGCAGCACCTGGAGCTCCTTATCAAAGCCCTCCCCACGCAGGAGGGGCCAGACCCAGCAGCTCCCCCTGCTCGATAAGACAGCAATGCCCAGCTGTGAGCTGGGCACCCAAACTGGCCTTTATCTTCCCCATCCAGGTGTTTGTATTTATATTTTTTTTCACTTTTCAAATCTCCAGCTTCTCTAACAGCTAAGCACCACCCGGCTCCGGGGGTTTTATCCTTCCCACCACCAGCACCTGGTATCTGCCAAAGCCACGGAGCAGCAAATTCTGAATTCTTTCCTTTTAATTGGCATGTTCAGCATCAGCTAATTCTGGTTTTCTTCCCTGGCATAGAACTCCCAGAGGAGCTGTGGTGTGGGGTTTAGGAATATTTAGTAATTCTAAGGGATGATTTGGGGAATTTTTGTTGTTTTTCCAAATCCTGCTTTGCTTGAGAGCCTTTGTTCCTCAGAAGAGGAATATTCCTTTATTCCTCTGGGGTGTGGGGGTGATGGGAGCTCCTGATGGGGCAAATCTTTGCTGATTATCCCTGAAAATTTCATGGTTGCTTCATCCCTGAAAGTGTCCAAGCCCAGCTTGGAGCACCCTGGGATAGTGGAACCCTGCCCATGGATGACTTTAAGGTCCCTCCCAACCCAAAGAATTCTATGATTTTTAATGTGGAAAGGAAAAAGCCCCAGTTTATGGCATTTTAAAAAGAATTTAGAAGAAGGATCATAGCAAATACAAATGGTTGATTTGTTTTTCATTTTATTTGCAGCACTGCCAGTTGGAATTTTATGTCCCCATAGCTTTTTTTTATTTTGGCAGTGCCAGGTCCTCATAGGAAAGACAGATTCCATGTGGGAATCAATTCCCCATCCCACAGGACACAGATCAGCCCCTTCCCAGCACATGGTAGCCCCATACTTTCTTAGAAACACCCAAAATGCCCCAAAATATGAATTTAACTCCAAGCCTGGACCTCTTTCCCAGACCCAGCCTGAGATCCAAAGCAGCGCCAGCCTCTGGTGATCCCTGGAAAAGGCTCCAAACTGGATTCTCCTGCATCCTGGGAATGGAGAACCACAGGGAAATTCATCTGCTTGGAAACCTGACGTGTCCCAGTTATTTTTTTTATCTTTATATTTGCAAACTCCAGGAATATAAACAAACAATTCTGTTTTGTCTTCGGGGTGACCTGACCCACTTTGGGAGCAGCAGCCCCTGCTTTGAAGCCTTCATGAGGCTCTGCTGTTGGGATTGGTGCTGGAAAATTATGGAAAATGGGAAATCCTGCTCTGCTACAAGCTCAGGGCTGGGATTAATGGGGATTTTTTGCCCTAAAAAAGTGGTGGAGCCAATCAGAATGAAATCATTTGGCTGTGTAGGCAGAGCAGGATCATTCCCAGCTTTAACCACATTCCCTGAACTTTCTCCTTTTTGCCTGAGTCACCGAGGGCTCGGTTTCAGAGCCGGGGTTTTTTGAAACGTCACCACAGTGGGAGGTGATGCCAGCAAAGAAACTGGGGAAAACTGAGCCCTGAAGATTCTCCAGGGGGTTATTCCAGCCCCAAACCATCCCAAAATGGGAAAAGGCTCCAGTCTCCCTGAGCTGAGGTGTGGAGTCCCGGAATTTGGCTGCTGGGTTCCTTTCAGCGCTCACATAACCTGACCTAATTCCCCCCTCCCAGGAGTGCCCGCCGTGTGTAATTAAAGCTGCTTTGGGATTATTTGTTGCACCAAAGTTGATTTGGTTTGGTGGTTTTTTTCCCCAACTCACCTTTCTGGTTTGGAGCCCTGGGGGAACAATGGGAGGGAGCAGCTGGAGCTGAGCTCGGGAGGGACTGGGGGCACTGGGCAGAGGAGGCTGCGGGGAACTCACAAGTGCCTGGGTTTGTCCCGGCCTTAATTCCAGCACTCGGCAAAATTAGAGGCAGAAAGGAATGGGAATGAGGAGACTCGAGGAGAGGAGACTCGAGGACTCTAGGAGAGGAGACTCGAGGAGAGGAGACTCGAGGAGACTCAAAGAGACTCGAGGAGAGGAGACTCGAGGAGAGGAGGCTCGAGGAGAGGAGGCTCGAGGAGACTCGAGGAGTGGAGACTAGAGGAGAGGAGACTCGAGGAGAGGAGACTCGAGGAGAGGAGACTCAAGGAGACTCGAGGAGACTCGAGGAGAGGAGACTCGAGGAGAGGAGACTCGAGGAGA